ATATATATATATATACTGAACCATTTGAAAGTTGAAGACATAATGCCCCTTTATTTCTAAAGGCAAGTACATTCTCTTATGCAACCACTATATGATTAGTTAAATCAGGAAATTACACTGATACCATGCTATTAGCTGATCTACAAAGTTTATTAATATTTTGCCAGTTTCCCTGTAATATCCTTTATAGCAAGGAGAAAGAAAAAAGAAAAATGAAACAAAGAGAAAGAAAGCCATTTTTTTTTTGTTCTTAATCACACATTATGTTTAATTGTCATGTCTAGACTTCTCTAATCTAGAACAGGTCCTCATTCTTTGTTTTTCATGACTTTGGTATTTTTCAAAGAGTACAGGCTGCTTTTCTCGTGAATGTCTCTCGATATGGGATTTCCTTGTGATTAGATTAATGTCCTCTAGTAAATTCCAAAATTTTTAGGAATGTGGCTTTTTCCTGGACTGTTTGTTTTAATATTCCAGGTCTGTGTTCTCTCTTCTTGGTGTGTAAATGAAAAAATCTGTAACAGTTTTCAGGGGACTTAATGGCTTAGAAAAACCATTTCATTCAATTTTCAGACTTAAGATTATTAGGTGATACATCCTCCTCAGTGCACCATGTGTGTTTGTCCCACTACTGATGGTCTTAACTTTGATCACTTAATTAAGGTCATGACTGTCAGGTTTCCATATTGTAAATTTACTATTTTCCTCCTTTGCTATTAATAAGTATTTTGTGGGAGAGATACTTTAAGATTATGCAAAAAGGGTGGCCAGATAAAATACAGGAAGCCCAATTTAATTTTAATTGCAGATGACCATCGAATACTATCTTAGTATAAGTATATCCCTCTCCCCAAATTATTTATCTGAAATTCAAATTTAATTGAGTGTCTTGTATTTTTACTTGCAAGATCTGGCAACCCAGTAAGTACCTACCTCGTTCCTAATCCAGTTTCACCCAGTTGTTTTGACATCTATCGGTGAGCCGTTTTTACTATGATTTTGTCAAATAGTTTCTTTCTATCATTCTTCTGCATTTATTAGTTGGTATTCTGTCTATCTTCCTATCCACTCTTTACGGTGCCTGGCACACAGTAGGCGCTCAGATAATTGTTCAAACAATGAATGAACAAACTCTTGTTCGCGTTAGCCGGGCTTCCGTGACACTAGCTGTGTTTGGCAGGGGCTTGCCTTCCTCAGCCAATCTCTGCAGGCTATCGAAGCTTCCGAGCCTTTCAGGGCCTTGCTCCTAGCTCTTCTTGCTCCAATCGTAAGCAGGACTTTACTGGGAAGGGACCAACGGGTGCCGGCGGGAGGCGGGGCCTGCCACGCGGCCGCGGTATAATTGCGCTGCCCGCGCGCGCGCTTCTCTCCTGGCGCGGACACCGGCGCGGGTGATGGCTGCTCCTTCCCTCGTGTTCACGTTGGCCATCCGGCTGCTCCGGCCCGCGCAGAGCTGCCACCTCCGTCATCGCCCCTTCCACCTCTCGGTAGCTCGGTAAGAGGATCGGGAGCCAGGTCAGCGCCGAAAGCTGAGGGAACCGAGGGCGGGGGGCCGGCCGGGCTCCGGAGGGGCGCTGGGGGACGTTCTGCTGAGCATCTCCGTCCCGGGCGGTGGCGGGACGACGTGGCAGTCGCGCGCGGCCCCCGGCTGCGATCTGGGCCATCGTTCCGTGGGATGGGCTGATACCCGGAACCGGCCTTTTAGAGGAAGCAGGTCTCCCGCAGCCCCGGGGCGTCGCCCTCTCTTGGGGTCAGTCCGTCCGCAGGACGGGGCCCACGGTGCGGAGCGAAGGGGCAGGCGATTAACGTTTAATGGGGCGCCCCGATTAACGCAGGACTGTACTGAGGTCACTGGCCAGAACCTGCCGGCCGCCCTTGGCTGTGATGCCGAGCCGCTTGCGGAAAGCAGAGGTTACGCTTTGGCGAGCGCCGGGAAGGGCTCTGAATGAGCAGCCTTCAGTGAGAGTCCGGACCCTAGCGGCGGAGGGGGTTGGTGCAGTCTGATGAAATCCAGGAGCCGGCTTGCTCGCCGGGTACCCGCACTTCCCTCCTCCTTCGGGAGGTGGATGTGGCTCGGGCTGCTCTTCTGGCTGCCTCTTTCCCCTCCCAGGAGAATACATGTGCTGTGTTCACCAGGGCTTTGATGCAGTCCACCCGGAGTTGGTCTGCCAGGCTGAGTAAACTGAAGGGTTAAATACCCAAGAAAAGGAGAGAAAGAGCTGTTTGCATTTTCTTAGGGAGGTAATAGGTTTTTTCCTGATCTTTCGGGACCTCAAACTCCCATTCTTAAACCTAGGTTGAAGGGTCTTCAGGGGGCCTGTGATTTGTCACCCTAAAGCTGCGCACTCTCACGCCCACCTTTAGAGCCTTTGCATTGCCGGCGATCTAAGCCTTGTACCAGCAGCTCTTTCTTTCATGCAGGCATTGCGCTAAGCTGTGTGAATTCAGGGGTGATCAAGTCTTCTTTCCTTAATGGAATTCAAGGGGCAGAACACATGTGTAATTTCCAGTCAGTGTAAAAATGTTATTAGAGGCATTGCCAAGGTGCTGTTGTAACACAGAATGCGGATTAATACGTTTTTGAAAGAAGACCCAGGACACTCAAGACTTCTCTTGGTCTTACCCTGACCTGCCTTTCCAGTCCCATCTCTCATTACTGTCTGTTCGCCTCCCTCTTGTCCCCTTCCTGAGTTCTGGCCATGTGTGCCTGTGGCTTTCATGACTGAAGAGATTTGTAAGGATCCTCAATTCATCACCTAGAAAACTGGACCAGTTTGTTCACTCTCCAGTAACAAATGCCCTCCTTTGACTTGCCTTTCTGAATGAACAAGTAGGCTCCACATCTCTGAAGGCAATACTGTGTTTGGTGTTTATGGTTTCCTGGTATTGCTTTGATCACTGCTGGCTAGTAAATGTAAAACAATGATATGTTTTATGAATCTGTGTGTATTCCTTTTTTGGCGAAGAGGGGGTTGGCAGAGAGTTTCAGGAGCATAAACTCATGGTTGCAGAGATAGTACTATAGTTTAGGACACAGTGGGGCATAGGGAAAAATGGACTTTGGAGGCAGAGGTTTGAGTGTGTTTGAATCTTGTTTCTACTGTCCTCAGTTTCCCCTTCTATATACCAGTGTTAGTATAATAACCCCAAGGTAACTGAGAGTAATGTATGTAAAATTCTTAGCAAAATATCTAGTATTTAATAGATGTTAGTTCCGTCCCCCTTTGTAGCTTTCTTTACTCATTACTGGTTCCATTAATTAGTAGATAACTGAAGTCTTTCTAGAATAACCTGATCAGGAATCATAAAGTGCACCTGAAAATTTTTTTATGGAAAATTACAGTGTTGTAAAGCTATTGAATTAGGAGAGTAAAGATACTACTGAGTTGGCTTTTAGTTTTGAATTTTATTTGAACAGTCCTTGTGACTTTTTTCTAGTCTGTTCATTCATTATTTTATTTTATTTTTATTCATTCATAATTTTAATGGAAGATTTTCTAAACACATCTGTGAAAGCATTTAATTCTTAAATAAGTGTTAGTTAATATAGTTAATACATTTTGGATTCCCTGTGGGACTAAGTTGAGCCTCTGTTTCTTTTGGGGTAGCAGTTATTTTATCTGCCCTTTGGCAAAAGAGATGATGGGAAATTAGGTAATGACTCACTGGCAGGACTGTGTTTCACATTCTGCAGAGCTGTATATGCAGAGGAAGGCTAAAACAGGTTCTGTTACAGAAGATACTCATTGTGTTGTGGCTTTGTTTTTGGTTCTTGTTACTCTTTGACAGTTTTTAAAAAGCTAATTGGCATAACATCCAGAACCTGCCTTTGGGACTTGGAACACTGGGTTCTCTCAGAACCCTGTGTCCTTAATTTGAGTATATCATTCTTAGCCCCAATGTGCTGCTATCATTTTCTCTAAGTTCATTGCTTTCAAAAGGAACCTTTTAAGGAAGGGTAGTTTAAGACTTTCTGAATATTTATACATGTGTATATACGTTTACACACATATCCTTATGAGTATATAAGTATATAAATATATCTATTATATATTAAGGATCTGTGTGTGTGTGCGTGTGTGTGTGTGTGTGTGTGTGTGTGTGTGTAACTCTAACCAATTTCTCCAGGGTTGGGAAATGCATTTCTGGACTGGGGCTATTCCCCAGGAATGTTGCCAGAGGTGTTTGTGTTCAAAGCCCTTTGAATTAAGTCCCCTTCAGATGTAATTCTGAAATAGATTTGCAAATGTGAACATGTTTTCAATTCCTTAATATACCATGGGTATAATGAAGTACTATTATATACTTTGTGCTATGCTAGTATCATTACATAAAATGTGGGTAAAAGTACTTCATTTACTCTAAAATTATATCTTTTTAATACCTCCCAAGATACAAGTACAAATTAATATAAGGTTTAAATGTAAAATTACTGCTGTACATCTAAGACATTTTCATCTGGTTTAAAGCAGGTATTTAATCTTAATACAAATGGAAAGGAAGCATGGATGGCTTAAAGACTGTTGGAGCTTTAAAATTCCATTGTAGTTAACAGTGGCATTTATGTATGTATGTATGTATGTATGTATGTATGTATGTGTTGTAACTCACCACCCTGAGAACAAGAGTCACATGCCAGCCAGACACCCCTAGTTAACAGTGGTCTTAAGAATTAATCATTTCTGGGGCACGTATAGAGCAAGTAACTCTTGATCTTGAGGTTGTAAGTTTGAGCCCCACACTGGGTGTAGACATTACTGAAAAATAAAATCTTTAAAAAGAAAAAAAGGAATGAATCATATCTGACCTACAAGATAACTAGTACCTTGATGTTATTATCCCTGACAATTAAATATGTGCTGTAAGGAGAAATTGTTTCAGTATTTCAAATAGTTGTGTATCTCGGCCTTGAGGTTGGAGCATTCTTCATGATACTGAGGACAAATCTAAAGGGGACGACTTGTTTACACTGAGACCTTTATGTTAGGGAGCAGATGCTAAGAAAACCAGGAATCTTCCACATTGGAACCCAGGAAGAGCTGCATAAACAGTTCTTATCGGGAAGAGATGACCTTTCAGAGATCTGAACATGATTTGGGGAACTGGAGGTTCTTTTGGACCCTGAGTTTTCTCATTGCCTCACCCCCAGTAGCAGTTTCTGCATCTCTTGCTCTGTCTACCATGAGTGTAACTGCTGTTTTCTCTCTTTGCTTTTTTCTGTCTTTCTTCGGGGCCTCCTACCAACAGGTCCCCTGTGGTTCTAGTGTGTGAATGTGGTTTGGGGAGAAGCTCTTACCAGTCTAGGTTAACTACCACTGCTTTCACTTTACTGAGCTTTTGTACCAACTGGACCACTGGCCTACTTAGAAATTGTCGTCCTTGATGTCAGATACTCACTGCTAGTCGGTCAGCTGTGGAAGGGCCATGGGGTTCCGGGGTAGAGCACACTGCCACCCATGAGATGGAACCTCTACTAGTCTCCTCCCACCCCTATTCTTACTAGGAAAGTCTTCTCCAGGAGGGGCTGGGGGCAGCAGTTGTTATTTTGAGGTTTGACCTGTCCAGAATATTGTTTATTGGTTTAATTGCATAACATAATTTATATATTTGAAAGCATCATAGAAATTAAAAGCTAATTGACTTAACTGGGAAATGGTTTGAAACATATGACTGGATGCGAATAACATGGGCAAAACACAAACTACAAACGGTATATAAGTGCGTAGGAAACCCTGTTTGACCTCATAGTGATGATGGGTCAAATAAAGCAATGAAAAACTTTTTTTGGTCTATCAATTTGTCAATGATCAGGAGGCAGAATGGTGTGGCAGGAAGAGCCTGGACTCTGGATTCAGACAGATCTGGATATGAGAGCCAGCTTGTCAAGTCCTCACTGTCACTTCACTCTCTGAGCTTCAGGGTGATAATGATAACTATTTCCGTCAACTTTATCTTCCTGAACATGTAGCTAGACACAGATTTACCACTTTGAACCTGGCCTGCAGATTTCCATTGTCCCTCAGATTAGGCACCATGTGTTTTAATCTACTTTTTAAGTTTGGGGGTATTTAATAATTTTTATTTATTTATTTATTTATTTATTTATTTATTTATTTATTTTATAGTTTGGTCTTTACTTCTCACAAAAATGTAAGCTCTCTGGTTTTGTGACTGTTGTTGCCTTCCACAGAAATGAAGCTGTTGTCATTTCTGGAAGGAAACTTGCACAGCAGATCAAGCAGGAAGTGCGGCAGGAGGTGGAAGAATGGGTGGCATCGGGCAACAAGCGGCCACACCTGAGCGTGGTTCTGGTTGGTGAAAATCCTGCGAGTCACTCCTACGTCCTCAACAAAACCAGGGCAGCGGCAGAAGTGGGTATGTGTCACTCTCAGACTCTGACTGCTGCTAAACTGTGGCTTACCTGAGGCAAACTTCATTGTCATTCATTATTTTGTCTGATTAGAAGACAGTCAGAGGAGGCTAATGTGATTGAACTGTATCCAAAATGTTGTCATAAAGAAATCCAGCCTATCTGCTGGGGAGGTTTATAGACTAGGATGGAAGGAATATGGTTGGTATTCTTGGTGCCTTCTGGAATATAAGCTAAATTCTGTGACATTGACAAGTGACACTAAACACAATTTACATTTGCTTTCCTTGAGCAGTAATGCAAGTCTGGCTGAGATGTTTGAGTTTGATTTGGTTGAGGAGACCTCAGTGATGTGGCCTAGAACACCATCCTAGGCTTGAAGGAAGTGACTCTGACTTCTAGGAAATAGCTTTCAGCTTCTCCAGCAATTGAGTCCAAAGCCAATTAAATCATGTAGGTTAGAGGTGGTTAGAGTTTTGAATGTAGAAGCCGAGGGTGTGGGTGATGGGAGGTTTGTGTTCTAGGTCTTGTTATACCACAGACTTCCTGGTCTCAGTTCTGCCTCTCCCTGCTCCTCTGTGGGTCAGTGGTGTGAGCCCCTGGTGCCCTTCCCTTCTGAAAGGCTGTGAAACGACGTGTGGGTGGACCATGAGCTTTTAGTACACTCTGTTCATTACCACTGAGGATTGAGGCTTCCTGCCCTTTTCTTTGTTGGTTTTACTTATTTCTTTTTTTAAATTTAAATTTAGTTAACATACAGTGTGATGCTGGTTTTAGGAGAAGAATTCAGTATTCATCACTTATATACTTACCCAGTGCTCGTCACAAGTGCCCTCCTTAATACCCATCACCCATCTAGCCTATCCCCCACCCGCCTCCCTCCATCAACCGTCAGATTGTTCTTGTTAAGAGTCTCTTGTGATTTGTTTCCCTCTCTCCTTGTTCCCCTTCCCATATGTTCATCTTTTTAGTTTCTTAAATTCCACATATGAGTGAAATCATATGGGGTTTGTTTTTCTCTGATTTATTTCGCTTAGCATAATACATTCTAGCTCCATCCATGTCATTGCAAATGGCAAGATTTCATTCTTTTTGATAGCCAATATTCCATGATACATGTACCACATCTTTACATTTTTTTAATGTATATTTATATTAGAGAGAGAGAGAGAGAGAGACAGTGTGCAAGTAGGGGAGGGGTAGAGAGAGACGGATACAGAATCTGAAGCAGGCTCTAGGCGCTGAGCTGTCAGCACAGAGCCTGGTGTGGGGCTCAAACTCACGAGCCATGAGATCATGACCTGAGCCGAAGTCAGACCACCCAGGCATCCCTATACCACATCTTCTTTATTCATCAGTCAGTGGACATTTGCTCCCCTTTTCTTTGAAAAACCTTTAGAACCTCTAGAAAATAGCAAGCTGTGGCTTTTTAAGACACTGGGAGGTAGCACAGTGCAGTGGAAAGAACATGAACTTTGGAACTGGAAGGATTGCCTTCACTGCTAACTGGCTTGTGTTTCAATTTTGCTGAGTCTCAGTCTCCCTGTCTGTAAATTGAAGTTAATGAGGATAGTGTAGAATAATGTATAGAATTGTCAAGCCAGCATTCTGTAGTGTATATATTTGTGAAGGTACCTTTTTAGGTGCCTTGGGAACTGATTCAGGCTTTTTAGCTACCAGGGTTGAGTGTGATGAAAACATTCTAGGTTAGAATACCATGGCAGGCAACATAACATTGCTCATTAAATGCCTCAATGTTTTTTTTAACCTTGAAATAATCTTATAGGAATCAACAGTGAGACAATTGTGAAACCAGCTTCAATTTCAGAGGAAGAACTGTTGAATTTAATTAATAAACTAAATAATGATGATAATGTAGATGGCCTCCTTGTTCAGCTGCCTCTTCCAGGTGAGTTTTGGGCTCCACCACTTAGAATGATTTCTGAGGAGTAGAGGATTCTTAGTTACTTTATATACCTGGCCCTCATGTGGATTTGACTTAAAGGGAGTTACATTCAAAAGAGTGAATATTTTATTAGATATCCACAGCCCTACTCAGAATACTAATTGCTCCTTAATTTGGTATTGAGATTATTTATTTATTTATTTATTTATTTATTTATTTATTTATTTGATTAAAAAAATTTTTTTTAATGCTTATTTATTTTTGAGAGAGAGACAGAGTGTGAGCAGGGGAGAGGCAGAGAGAGAGGGAGACACAGAATCTGAATCAGGCTCCAGGCTCTGAGCTGTCAGCACAGAGCCTGATGCAGGGCTTGAACCCACAAACTGTG